CTATTTGTGTTAAAGTTCCTTCCCGTTAAAGTCTCATGTTTTGTGTTAATGCGGCGGATGGCAGAACCCTATATAGAATAGGCAGGTTTGCGGAGTTTGGGCTGCCCCTCTCCCTGCCCTGTAACAAAATAAGAATTCACTGAAGGATTCCAAGGCAGACTGGGGAGGCAGCAGAGAGAATGGGCGACCTCGGAGGGCAGGATGATGGAAATCCTCAAGACTGAGGAACAGAAGGAAACGAGAGTATAGATGAGTGAACAGGATACCACCAAGCGGACGGTGCTCGGCAAGAGCCCAGGAAAGAGAAGGGGGCAGAGAGCACTTGAAGAAGTGAGACCGAACATTTTCCAAATCTGAGGACAGAGCTCAGCAAAGAGAAGAAAACAGTTATCCCCCAGACAGCGATCAGCATTGCAGGTCTCGACCCTCCTGCTCCCTCCTGACCCCGCACTGGAAGCCCGGCCCCCATCTTTTGTCCTTAAATAGCCTGCAGTTTCCTCTTGAGGTTCTGCACCCAGCGAGAACCTTGCTAAGTAGTAGACACTTGGAACAGGGACCCCATCAGTACCCCCTGTATGCACATCCATTTCAGAGCGTCTGCATCAGATCTGACTCCTGAGGTGACCCCCATCTCCCTGCTGTCAAAAACAACTGATAACAACATAGGCGTCAGGCCCCAGCGGAGTCTCAGGCAAGAGCTTCTGTGCTTGGGACAGGCTCGAGCCATAGGCAGATGTGTGGGTCAGAGAACAAGGCCAGGTGGCGCCCCAAAGTGCTCTCCCAGTTTGCCCCCCCCCATGTTGGTCCTATTGCCACCGTATTCATAGCTACCTGGATATTACTGTCTTTCTAATTTTTGCCAGTTTGATGACTGTGAAATAGTATGCTCTTCGTTTTTAACTTGTACTTCTCCAGTTACCCGCTGGCTTAAGTATCTCTTCATGTCCTTGCTCGCAATTCCATTTATTTCCCTCTGAATTGCCTGTGAGTTTCCTTGACTTGCCGATGAAACTGGGTCTGTTGTCTTTCTGGTGTTGGTCTGTGCCAGTTCCTTGGATAGTCTCTAGGTCTTCACTTAGACACTGCAAATGTCTTCTCGGCTGTCAGCCATCTGTTAACTTTCCTATGGTATCCCTTGTGGAACAGAAGTCTTCATTTTTAAATAACATGTTAAAAGCAAAATATGTAAACTGTATACTTAAACAAGTGACTCTTCTGCATTTCAAACTTTATAAAACCAAATATTCTTGTCTTTGCTGACAAAAAAGTTCTTTAATCTTTTTTTTTTTAAGATTTATTTATGCATACAAGAGCTGGGGTACAGGCCAGAGATACGGGGGGAGAGAGGATTCACCAGAGAGAGTGGGGAGCAGAACAGGCAGACTGACTGGAACACACTGCTGAGGGGAGCAGTGGGAGAGTTAGGAGAGGTCTGCTGAGCCATGTAGGTTGCTCCCTGGCCGGCGGGGGATTGAACTCGTGCTGCAGGGGCTGCGGATTGCTTCACAGTACGGTGCTCAAACCCTTGCGCCACTAAGGAGGCCCCAAGTTCTTTAATCTTAATGCAAAATTCATCTATTTTTTTTTTTTTTATGGCCTGTGCTTTTTTAGGTTTTCCTTAAGTCCTTCCTTACCCCAGGCCCATGGGATGCTCCTCACTTCCTTCCTTGTTAGCGCTATAGTTTGATCCTTCATTTTCAGTCTTTAATTTGTTTGGATTCTACCTTTGTTTTAAGTGTGTTGAGTAACCAACTCTTCGTCTTCATATACTAAGCCTGTGCTCCTGACACTACCCTGTGGCAGCCCACCCTTGAAGGTCTCATACACCGAGTGCCTTTCTCACCGTGTATGCAAGAGTCTGCTTCTGCTGTGTCCCAGACATACATTTGTCTCCAAGTGTTTTCTAGATTTCCCTTGTGATTTCTTCTTTAAATCATTGGTGGTTTTAAAAACATGTATTTGATTTCTACAATTTTGTGACTTTTCCCATTTTCTTTTTGTTACTGATTTCTAACTTTATCCCATCGTGGCTGGGGAGATGAGCAGGGGCCAGGTCAGGTGGGGCCTAGAGCTACTGATGCTTTTCACAGGAAGCCCTGGGTGCGTTGAAAGCAAGGAAGTAGCAACCCTTAGACATTAGATGATGATTCTAGTCAATGGCAAAAAATGGGCTGTAGAGGGGCAAAAAGGGACAGAGCCGACCCAGTTGGACTGTTGCAGTTGCAGTGAAAAGGAGAGTGACTTGGAGTGGGAACAGCAGCACCAGTTAGAAGGCCACGCCTCCTGGGGAGCTGTAACCGGGTGGGGGTGAGGGAGGAGTAGTTTAAGAGTGACTCCTTCACTTTTGCCTCTCTAGATAGGTGCCCTTGGGCAAGCTACTTAACCTCTCTGAACCTCAACTTCCAGTGCATAAGACAGCTCCCCTCAAATCTAGTAGCAACTTATATTTTAATAGGCTTGTGGAATACTTTTATGTAAATTGCACACATAATTTTATTTGATCCTTTTAGCACCCAAGGGTTTATATTTACAGTTTTTTATATTTAAGTTTTTTTTTAATGGACTCAGATACCGAAAACTGAGTTAATTTGCTCAGTTGATGACTTGTTTTCATGACTGATTCCCTGCAAGGTTTCATCGGTTTATTTTGTTCTTCAGCCCTAGTTTCGCATCCACTTCCCACCTCGTCCTCAATCCCTATAGGCAGCTATGTCAGCTGCTGCTATTTGTCCGGTACAGATACAGATGCATATCCTGTAAGACACGCAGCACCACTGTGTGTGGGTGTCGTGCATGCATGTGAGTTTAGTTTACCAGGACAGGGTCATGTTGTAGATCTTACTCTACTTGACGTTTTAACCCAGTACTCTTTTTAAAGATTTCTTCATAATTACATCTCGGAGAGAGTTTAAGAATGACAGACATTAACAGGGGACAAGCTATTGGGAGTAAGGGTATACACCAGGCAGAAAGAATACTGATTCTTTAAACAAGTTACTTTCAGGGCCTCCCTGGTGGTGCAGCGGGTTGAGCGCAGCGCTGTGAAGCTGTCTGCAGCCTCTGCAGTGCGGTTTCGATTCCCGGCTGGCCAGGGAGATTCCCACAAGGCGCGGCAGACCTCTCCTGTCTTGCCCGCTGCTCCCTCAGCAGTGTACTTCGGTCCTTCTGCCTGTTCTGCTCCCCGCTCTGTTTCTGGTGAATTCTCTCACCCTCCCGTGTCTCTGGCCGTACCCCAGAGCTTATTTATACAAGCTCTGTATAAGTAAATCAATCTTGAAAAAAAAAACAAAACCAGAATTTCCCAAAAAAAAAAAAAAAAAGTTACTTTCAGACTTTAATGTATATGAAAATCATGTAGGAATCTTGTTAAAATGCAAATTCTGATTCAGTAGCTCTAGAACAACTGAACTCTGATCTGACCACCTAGCTCTTGCTCTTCCCATTCCACCATGCAGCTTCCCAGGAAGGAGGCAAACATGTACATTTCGCCATTTCTTGCCTAAGTGATCACATGGTCCGTGGGGTGTGTGGTCTGTGTTCCTTCCTGTCCTACCAGGCCCAAGGGTAGACTCTGGGTGTACATACATGAAGCAAAAGACTGCAAAGCAAATATAAAAAGAGAAAAATAAGGAAGGAAGAAGTTGATGGCATGGAGAGCCTCAGTCTGTCTCCTCCAGCCCCAGTGACTGTTCTGCAGGCAGTCCCTGCATTTCTTGTATGCCTTGAGGGCCAAGCCACCTGCATTTCTTGTGTGCCTTGAGGGCCAAGCCACCGCAGTGGGGAGTTTGGAAGGAGATTAAAAACCAATTGTGAGTCCTGGCTTCCAGGAGCTAACACACATGTAACTATCAAAACAGAAATATGGATATAGATTTACCAAAGAGATCTAAAGAGCTATAGGTTTTCAAGGTGAGGGATATTATTTCTAGTTGTGAGATTAACAGAAAAACCTGTGAAAGAGGTTCGGAAGGCTCAACTGAATTCTGGTGAATGGCTAATAACGATAGCCTAGAACCTTCTGAAAAAAGCTGTATTTTGTTCATCTTGGCGCCCTTAATGTGTCATAAAATATCTGAATAGAATGACATTCAGTATGTTTAACAAACTGGAGAAGCGAGGCATCTGGGCAGAAGGAAGAGAGTAGGACACAGCCCTGAGGGGCTACAGGGCGGGGGTGGGCAACAGTCAAGAGTGAGGCCGGCTGGGGAAGGTGCTCATGAAAGGCGTGGCAAGGGCTAGGGGGGAAGAGCAGGTGAGGCCAGACCCTGGGGTTTCAGGTGTTGTTAGGCAGGCCCGGGAGACCAGGGAAAACCTTTATACAAAGAAATGTGATCTGGGAAGTCTGGGAGGAGCTTGAAAAAATAAACCCATCACCACTTTACCCTGAGAGGTAACAGAAAAAGCTCTTGCCATTTATTTCTGCTTGAGTATACACTGGACGCTTCATTTACCGTCCCCGGGCACAGCAGCAGGGCGCCGGGGGGGGGGCTGTGACCGCGGGGGAGGGCGACCCTGACTCTGAGGCGCTGCCTGGGGAAGGCAGTCGCGGCTGCGAGGAGCAGCACCCTGCCGGGCGCAGCCTGCTCGGCCCCAGGCGGAGGCGGGAACAGCCCGGAGAGGCCCCGAGCCTCCCGCGGCGGGGGCAGCGCGTCGACGACCCCGCGCGAGCGTCTGATAAACCCGACCCCTCTAAGGGGAAAGCGCCAGGAATGGCGACTCCAGCTACCCAGTTCTTGGGGTTTTCCTCGGAAGCGTCGAGGAGGGACCGCGCCTGCACCTCCTCGGGCGTGGGGCCGGGGCCGGCCTCCCGGGCGGAGCGGGGCGTGGAGGGGACCGCGGCAGCCCGGCCACCACACCCGCCCCGGGGAGCCGCGGCCCCCGCGCCGGCCCTGCCCCCCCCAGGTCCCGCGGGCCGGGCGTGCGGCGCCGACGGGGCGGTGCGGGCCGCGGGCCGGGCCGGGCCGGGCGGGGCGGGGCGGGGCGGGCGGGCCGGCACTCACCGCTTGTCGATGGCGTCGATGTTGGCGTGCAGCAGCCAGAGCTCCTCGGCGCTGTCCTGCCGCGAGGACAGGATCAGGTGGTGGCCCGTGAGGCACAGGGTGCCCTCGACGGCCGGGTGGAAGGGCCGGTGCAGCACCACGTTGTCCACCCGCGGCGTCTTGATGAGCTCGGCGAACTCCATGTCCGCCGCCGGCGGGGGCCCGGGGGCGCCGGGGGCCGCGGCTCCGAGGCGGGGACGGGCCGCGCGCCGGGCGGGGAGGCCGAGCCCCGCCCCAGGCCAGGGTGGGCGCGCCGAGGCCTGCGGCCGCCGTCACCGCCGCGGGGCAGCGGGCCCGGGCCGGCCGCTCTCCCGCGGCTCCGGCCGCCCCGGCGCCGGGGCTCGGCTCCGGAGGCCGCCGCTCCGCAGGCCCGGCCGCCGCCGCCGCCGCCTGGGCGCCCCGGGCAGGCTGGGCGGGCCGCGCGGGCAGCAGAAGGCACCCGGGGGCCCGTCCCCCGTCCCTGCCGCTAGGGACTCCTGGCGGAAGTTGCTGCTCGGCGCCGGAGCCTGAGCAACTCCGGGCGGAAGTGGCGGGGCTGGCGACGGGGGGGCAGGAAGGCGGGGCCGGAAGTCGGGCCGCCTGGTCCTCGGGGAGGGCGTCCGGCAGCACCGCCAGACTCGGGCATTCGTGTTCCGCCCAGAAAAACAGCGTTTCTCCCGTTTGCTCTCGCCCCCGCCCCGGCCCGCAAATTCCCCCCGTCGGAGAAGTCGGGGACGGCGGGCCGCGAGGAGGGCGCCCGGCCGGCCGCTTTGAGGACTGCCGGCCCCTCCCGGGTCCCGTCAGAGCGTGGGCTGCCGTCGGCGGGCCGTTTTCTCCTCCCGCTCTGCGGGACGGCCGGGGCGGGGGCCAGTCGGTGGCGGGGGGTCCGGCGGGGCCGCCGAGCGCGACGCCGCAGCCCCCGGCGCCCGCCTCCCCGCGGCCCGGGGCGAGGAAGAGAAGACGCGGCGGCCTCGGACAGGGCCCGGGAGGCTTCGAACGCGCAGACGAGGACGCTCGGGCCCCGGCCCGCGCCGCGCGGGCACCTCCTTCCGCGCCCGGACCGCGGGGCGTCCGCTCGGGTCTCCCGGGGCTGGGGCCCCCCCTCCTTTCACGGGGGCGCGTCCACTCCGAGCAGGAAAGCAGGGGCGCGGGCGCGGGGCTCGGCTGCCCCTCGCGCCTCCAGCCGGCAGCCGGGAGTGCGGAGCCGGGCGAGGCCCGAGGCGCTGGGAGACGAAACCAGCAGCTCCCGGCCCCGCGGAGGCCGCAGGTGTCCTGGCGGCTGCCCTCGTCCTCCCCGAAGTGCTCCCCGAGCAAAACGCTTTATAGAACCGCTGCGGGGACGGCTCGGGTCGTTAGTCTGCGAAAGAAAAACAGGAGCCCACAGGTAAAGGGGGATGAGGAGAAATGCCCCATAAAGCCGCTTCTGATCATGGGAGTTTTTGGCCAGCCTCCCACTATTGTTAACGACTACCGCTGTGGAAGGGAGAATTTACTTCCAGAAGAGGAATAAGGGAAAGTTCTACAGTTCAACGTTTGAAGGAAGGTCCTTAAAGAGTAAGATTTACGCTCTGAACGGAGTGTCGCCAAGAGAGATGTCCCGCTCGTTGAGATCTACAAGAGACAGGGGGAGATCTCTTCATGGCCTCCATGACCCTATTTCCAGTTTTCCTGAAAGTACCAAAAAAACCCTATGAAAAGGCCATTGTATCCTTAGAATGTTTCATAAAGGCACAAAGCCATACCCATGACAGAATCGTCTATCAGGTGGGATTGTTACAATGAAACACCGGGAGCTATGTAAATATTACAGGGTTGCGGCTTGAAGTATAGAAAGCCCTTGAGATCCGAAGAAAACAAACATTGTCTCGCTACACGAACAGAAGATGGCAGCAGAGGTCGACAGGAAAGAGATGGGTTTCCTTGCGACTCAAGTAATTCAGTGACCTTGCACTTCAAGCTCTGTTGCACACGCAGCCTGGGCATCAGCACCTCAGGGGATTCTGATAAGCCAAGGAAGGCGATGGCATTTGTGATGCACATAAAACACCGGTCGCCTCACAGATGTTATTTGCATCATTCTGTAGTCGGCTGGCCAGGGTTATGTGCCTACGTGCTGGCTAGCGCCGGGGGAAACGGGGGCGCGGTTCCAGCACAGCCCTTGCCCTGCAAGGGTCACGCCTGTTGGGAAGGCGGACGCACCCCGGAGCAGCCAGTAAACAGAATGGGAGAGCGCGTGCCAACTCCTGTACACACGTCCTGCGCTGGGCTGCTGCTTCCCCTCCAGACCTGCAGCGGCTAGCAGCCGAGGAGGCCGGGGAAGGCCAGCCGTTGCAAGAGTGTGAGGGGCAGCGTGAGGGGCAGCTCGGGCAGAGCCCAGCCTGCGAGCTCCTGAGCAGCTGTGCGCGCAGCGCTGTGTTCCTAGCGCGGCCAGCAGGCGGCTGAAATCAAGCCCGGCTCCTCACGCTGAGTCCTTGTGTTCTCACCCCCTCTTCCCCCAAACAAGTCAGTCCCCAGATTGTTGCTGGGTCTTCTAAGAGCTCTGGAATTCCTCCACTTTCTCACCCTGAGAGCACTGCCTGGTCGGGGCCATCGCTATTTTCCAGCTCCTCAGCAGGAAAAACCTCTCCTCGGTCTCCTTTCTCCAGTGGGGGGACGGGGGTTCCTCTTCAACCCATTTTTCCGCGTGACAGCTAAAGACCTCTTTGGCGTTCAAAACGTTTTTCTTTACTTAACCTGTGAGACCCTTTGTGATTTAGCCCCTTAGGCGGTGACCCGCATCGCAGGTCCCATCTCTCTTACTCTCTCCCTGCCCAGCACAAACCCCCACCCCCACTCTTGGTCATTTTCATGCCCGTGATCCCCAAACAGCCGGCAGTGGCCCTCCTAGATTTTGACCTGGCTAAAGCGGGTGTGTACAGCAGGCACCGGTATAACCAGCACCCCTGGGAACTTCGTTCGGTGTGTTCTATCCCTGAGCTGTTGAGGCAGACCCTGCATTTTAAACAAGTTTCCTGCATGGTTTTCCTGTCCGTTAAAGCTTGAGAAAGCACTGTCTGAAAGGATCGGGGGTCCTTTCTGCCTGGGGTATGCGACCCTCCCAGGCCTCTGACCTGGTAAGTGTTGTCAGCACTTTCTCAGATGTCACCGCTTCTGGGAAGCCTTCCCTGATTCCCCCGCTCAGACTCTGGGCTCCATGTTACGTGAGCTCCACAGTGCCGTGTAATAACACTAGTTGATATTTTTTGGAGTGTTTGCTTTGTGTTTCAGACATTGTGCTAAACGCTCATGTAGTCTGAGGTTGATGAAGAAACCAAGCCCAGTGATCTTTGCAACTTTTCCCCAGTTAGACAGTAGGTAGTGACATCAGGCCCCACCCACATGCCACCCTGGAGACCTGAGCTCACCTGGGTTACTCTCTGATTTTACCTCTTGATAACCTGTATTGAATTAGGCTCCTTATGTGTCAATAACCTTCCATGAGCCAGAAAGCCCTCTGAGAGCGGGACCATGTCTTGGTTGGCATGTGCCAGCTAAGTGCCCATATTCAGCAGCCACTCAAGGTGTTTTGAAGAGATACCTTGTGTTTTATGTGACATATTCCACCCTGACTCCCCCCCCCCACTCCAATCTGAACAACTTTAGAAGTTGCCGCAGATGTTTATGCAGTGTTTTGATGAGAGTAGGAGAAAGAGGCTATTGTATTATCCCTACCTTGCCAAGAGGAAAATAAAGCAGGTGAGTAACTCCTCAGTGATGACGACACCGGTCATCTCTTACCTGTGCTCAGTGTTTTACAGTGGCTCGATGTCAATGGCCTGAGGAAATAAACAGGAGAGGAAGCGCACAGGTCAAGCAGATGGCAATGACCTTTCAATAACAAAACCAGGCAGAGAGGCAAAAACCCAAAGGCCGCAGTGGGTTTGTGGATTGCAGTGGGTGGCCAGTCCCTGCCATCCCACTGACATGGCTTAGACTTACTGTGCGACTGCTTTTGTCTGTAAAGAGTCTGACTTGAGGTGGGGAGAAGACAGCTCTTCGTAGGTAAGCAAAGCGGCTAAAGTTTCATCAGGTGGAGCAGCAAAAAGGAAGTTCCGAGAACAACAGTACCGTCGATGGGTCTGGTCAGATATTCAGATACAGCATGCGAAGAGCCACATTCCTTGTGCCTGGTTCTGACGTGCCAGTCCCCCAGTCACTTCATTTGTGAGGCCAATGAGAAGACCAGAAACCTGGGTCTCCAAACAAAGTGGCAAACTGGGGGGGAAGAGGGATTGTTGCCTTTGTTACATAAAGTAAGTCACCAACAAATGTCCTGCCTGAACCGCATCCATCTGCCGGCAGCGGGAGCTGGAGCAGGGAAGAGAGGAGGCGGAAGCGGAGGAGCTGGCCCTGGCCGGGCCTCTTCCTGCAGTCTCGGCCTCTCCTGGTGGTCTCCTGGGAGCCAAGCTGGCTTCCTACCTGCAGGTAACCCCCGGGCAGAAGGGGGCTGCCCAGAGCAGCTGAAGGTGTCAAGTGAGAACTCCTAAGAGCCAGGCAGAAACAACTTTCATGGCCTAGATGTGGATGTCGTTTGAGGTCACTGCCACAGCGCCCTGTTGATCTGAGTCACCCAAACCCACTCAGTTTCAAGGGGAGAAGACCCGGGGCCCTTCTCAATGGCAGCAGCATCAACAAGCGTGTTCGTGGGCAGGTACGCTGTGAGCATGTGGGGAGAGCGGGGCACACGTGTGTGTGAGCTCAGCTGCCCTTAGACACACCAGCAGCTGGCATGAGAAATAAAAAGAACATTGGGAAAGTCAGCACACTTTTTGGCTAAGTGCTTTTCTGCTCATAGCCATAATGACATGAACTAAGAATCTGCAATTACATATAATTGGATATAATTAAAATAAAGAGACATGTCTAAAATAAAGGCGTAATTAAGAAGTAGGAAAATTAAGTAGGTGGGAATGTCAACAATGCTAATTCAGAGATTGCTGTGGGTTTACTTTATTGTCGCTGAACGCAAATCAGGGTTCGCCTGGAAAGTCGGAGCCGTGGGAGACACAACAGGAGCGCAGGCCAGAGGACAGCCCGAGCCTGGGGGCGGGACAGCCAAAGGCAGGGCAGGGAGTGCAACTGAGTCCCCAGCAGGAAAAAGCAGTACCAGAGACACTCAGGGGTGTGCATGTGGACCTGTGTCGTGC